AAAAGATAAACTCTGTGATAATAATAATCAAATTAGTCCTTTTGCTGATATTCATTGAAAAGCAAACGAATATACTACTTTTGCTAATTTGGTTGGTGAACCACAAGTGAGGGTGATTAATTTACCTTGCGAAACGGAAACTAGAGTTGAACTTATTGATGCTGCTCCTTCATTAGATCATCATCATGGAGAACCAAACTCGATAAGCATGCCAGTCGAGGTAGAAATAGGGGTTCCTAATAAAAACCCCGATGGTTATTTAAAACCTTTGGATGTAGTTTGGGTAAGGAAGGCAGCACTTCCTGGAGTTCGCTATTGGCATGTAGGAGTTTATTTAGGTGATGAGCAAGTTTGTCATTTTAGTTCAGAGAGCAAAAGAAGAGAAACGAACAGAACCATAATTACTGATTGAGAAACTTTTACTGTGAACCATATACAAGGTGAGATATTCGCTTATCATCCAGTTCTCCCTTTTAAGCACTATGAACTGATAGCTCGACAGATTGATTGAGCCTGAGAAAATGACTATGATAAAGGTTGATATTGCTTGCCTAATAATAATTGCGAACATCATGCGAATGGTTTTGCTTTTGGCGTTGATTATTCTAGGCAGATATGAAACGAACGTAATAGGACTTTCTGGGGGTGAAAAGATTGCAAAATTTGTAGTGGATGTGAGTTAAAAACAGTTAATAACAGCAAAGGTTCAATTATCAAATTAACTGAGGAAATTAAAGAAACTAATAATGAATTAGGCAAAAGAACTGGCTACTGATACAAACAAATCAAAACTGAATACGAAGCCAAAACAGTGGTGCCATTTAAGGATTGTAAAATAATGTAATGATGCCTGATAATGTAGCGAGGACGCTTGGATTAGCAATAACTTTTTCATTCTTATATTTGCTCTGTTCTTTGGTTTTAATAATTAGGGGTGTTCACCTTTGACGAAAAAAGAAAATTACTGGGTGAGATTTGCTGTTGATTATTTTGCTTCCTTTGCTTGCTTTTGTGTCTTTTAGGTATTGAGCGATGTAATGGATATGGCTTTTTTTTTGAGAGGTTATAACTCCTTTTCTTTTGGCAATAATTTCTTTGTTGATTTTGCTTTTTTCGCCTTTTCGATTTTTCTACCTTGCTAAGCATAAAAAAAATTAAAACTATACTCCCAAAGGCACAGCAGCAACATTTTCTCTCACTGGCTTAATTGGAAATTCAATGATAATTTTTTCATATAAAGCAATTGGCTGAATTTGGGCTTTTTTGGCATCTAAACTGACCTTTTTTAACTTAATAATTCCTAAACTATTTAGGGCTTGGCAGTCTCGCCAAACATTAGCATAATCACGATTAAGTAATTGGGCTAATTCTTGAATGTTAGCCGGCTGCTTGTCTACCAAACAGGCTAATAAATCCATTCTAACTTGGCTGGCTACTCGATAAATAGTTTCGAGACGGTTAGCAATCATGACATTTTTGGGCTGGATATGTTTTTTACCAGTTTTAATAGCCTCTTCAAAGCGGTCAAACATCCTTTTAGGCGAAGCCAGTGGGTCATATTGGAAAATAAATTCTTTTTTTTTGTCTTTCATATTGTTACTCATAATCAAAATAGCCAAATCTTTCATAAACCTTTTGGAAGAATAACTTTCTACTGGCTGCCAAGGAAACTCATTCAAAGTAAACGCTTGGTTGCTTATCAAGATGATAATGCGGTGGCTTACCAGGATGATTATCAAATAATATTCGCTCATTAGGATTATCGATATTAAAAGCAATTCAACTAAATTTATAATTTTCAGGAAATTCCGCTGATTGCTTAGTGAAAAATCTTTTACTTAACAAACGAAGCTTAATGATATATCCTTGGTCAGTTTCTAGCACTTCTTCTTCGTGGGAAAGAAAATAATCTGACATTTATACATGTAGTTTTAGCACCACATATTTATATTTTTAGGATTAAAGTAAAAATTAGCATGAATAATCCAACCAAAAAACCGACTAAAAGTAAAATTTGACAATGAATAACCACCATTGCTATCATTTTATCCTGTAGTTTTAGCACCACATATTTATATTTTTAGGATTAAAGTAAAAATTAGCATGAATAATCCAACCAAAAAACCGACTAAAAGTAAAATTTGACAATGAATAACCACCATTGCTATCATTTTATCCCTGTTTGGCAGTAGTTTTCTCCTCTATCAGTGGTGAAAAACCCAACAAAACGCTACTAATCCAAGAAAAAGAACAAAGGATGATTTTGGTTATTTAACGTGAAAATAACATTAAAATAATGCTTGGGGGAAAATCTCTTGGTCGGTTTTAGAAGAAGTAGAAAAAGCCATTCATATAGTTTTGGATTTGAAAAGTTAGTCTGTGGTGCAAAAATTGACTCTTTGCTTATTTATCTGGATTAAAAGGAAAGGTGGTTGGTTGAACAACTTGACCTTGCTGCTCCAAAGAAACTGCCTTCTCATAATTAACAAATGCTTTGGTATATTTTCCTTTAAAAGTTCCATCTATTTTGTAAGTGTACTTCCTCTCATTACCGCTTTTATCAGTCAAATAGCAAGAAATTGTTGTAGTAATCGGAATCTCTAAATTATGTTCTTGCAAAATTGCTTTGGCTACTACCATGGAGTTAGCGGGGCAATTTACTTCTAACATTCCTTCTATAGTTTCAGTCTTGGATTGAGTATGGCTCCTCCCATGAGAGACTTTGGCTTCCAATTTAAGAGACAATTCTCCTTCTGCCAGCAAAGGTACTCCCGTTCTAATCCCGGTTTCTATTCCGGCCGAGAGTTCAATGCCTCAGTCATAGGTATCTTCCTTAGTATATTCCCGAGAAAAATTGAGAGTATACTTTTGCGGCTCACTACCCTGATTCTTTTGCGTAAGTTCTTGGACGGATTGCTTAGAACTTTCTTTCTTTTTCTCTAAGTGGAATTTAATATCTTCGATTACTTCTCGATAACCACCTATTGTTTTTTGATAACCAGCAGTTGGCACATACCAAGGTCAGTGATAAAACCTCTAATTTTTCTTAAATAAGAAGCCCAAAGAACGTTATAACCAAACAATATATTTCCGCTATGTAAATCTCGATGAATTAAGTTTTGTTCGTGAATAACACTTAGCCCCATAGGAATACTTTCTCATTTTTCAAGTTTATACCTAATACTTAGTCCTTTACTTTCCTGCAAAAATTGTCGCAGATTACCACCTTCCATGTAGTCCATCACCATTATATAATTTCTATCAGGGTCTTTTGGGAGATACCATAATAATGAACAATAAATAAGCCAGAAACTAGCCTATTATTAGCAATTTCTCTTAAACAATGCTAAAGTGATATTTTGAGAATCCTTTAAAATTTTTATAACTACTTTTCGGACTTCATCCTCGCTTCATCTTAACGTAGCTTTATAAACCCTGGCAAATCCCCCTTCATCTAAAATTTTGTCTTTACCACTTTCATCTTTATCGACTTCAAGTTTTTTATAAGGTATTCAGTGAAATATTCTTGAACCAATTCAAGGTACATGTATTTTCTGAATAAATTTCTCAATCACTTCCTGTCCAGTTAAACCTTTTATGTCGAGCTGTCATTCTTTTTCTTCCGCACAAGGCTGACACCATCTCTTGCTAGTATTAAGCATTCCACATTTTCGGCATCAGTCAAAATTATTGCACTTTTCTTTTGATTCTTTATGATAATTTTCATAGCTTTCTTTGCCATTTAAAAAATCTTGGGATTTAAGATTTTTAACTTCTTTTAGATAATTGACAAAGTTATAATCTTTTGGTTCCGCCCCTATTTTTATTCATTCCTTAACTTCTTCCTTATCAAATCCTAGTTTTTCTCAGTCTTTTTTTAATAACTTATAATAAAGAACAAAGTCATTGTGCAAATCTTTTCAGGTTCAAGCATCTAACTGAGGAATGATTTCAGATAACCTACAATTCGGTCTCTCTTTAACAGAACAAAAGCTAAAAAAATTACTCTTAGCCAAACGGTAAGTAGCAAATGAACAAATCAGGCTAAAAATTGCTTACCTCTAAAATTAATCTCCTAAGGATTTAATTAGCAGTTTTTTATTAAAATCAACGAAATTATTTTTATTTATGATACCATAACCGACAAATGCTATCTCAAGCGAACGTTCAATTGCTATGGGAACTAACGATTAAGGATGCTGTTGAGCATCAAGGAATAATTGTCGGCACTTGATTCCAGATTGACGAAAAAAAAACACTGAATTTCCTTTTGCGTTGATAAATATCGCTTGAATACTTGGGAGGCGTTTTACAAATGCGTCAGGGACGAACACAATAACTTTCTATCGGCGTTTATTGCAAATAGATAATTTAAACTCTCTTTTAACTTTCTCTTTTACCGAGGAGGACGAATGAATCAAAGACCAAGCAAGCGGTAAATGAAAAAGCAAATTTTAACTTCTTTTTCTCTCGCTTCTGCTCGCCTTTGGTCGCTTCATTTCGGGTGTCTCCTTTCCGTCGTCAATCCCTTGTTTCGCTCCCCCTGTCTCGCTTTCCGGCTCCCTTTGGTCGCCGATTAAGTTTAATTCTCTGCTACTGGTGAATGCTTATGTCGGTTAGCAATTTTTCTTTTTTCTGCTGGTTGTTCGGTTAACAGAGAAAGGTCTTTATTTCTTAATTCTCGCACAATATAACCAATCACATATTCCGGAGCCGTTTTTAGTTCGATATCTTGGTTAGTCATTAATTCATTTAATAAACGCTCAATAATGGCTCATTCTTCGGTGTTTTGGTAATGAGAATAAGGATTTTGGTTTTTCATATTAAGATTTTTTATGTTTATGCTTGGATCCGGAGGGTCAAATTTGCCGACCAAAGAAGTCGATTTCTTTGACTTTATTGCCATTTCTATCTATAACATCCCAGTGGTCGCCGTGGAGGAGGTCTTTTTTTCAAATGGTATTGTCATTAGTGTTTTTTCAGCCTTGGGCACCTTTGAGTTTAATTCAATTTTTACTTTCCCCGGGGAGTTCAATGGGATTTGCCATTTAAAGGATTTTTACTTGGTGAATTGGTTTTTTTTGGCTTTTTTTAATTTCATCAACAATCCGCCAACAGTTAGCAAACTAGCCACTAAGCAACTAATTAAAATAATTCTTTCTTGGTTTGGCTGGGGAATTAATTCTTTTTGTGGTTGAGCCATTACTGGCAATTGAACATTTTTCGCTAAATAACCATCAAGGGCTTTTTTTTGCGCTTGAACTATTTGCTGATAACTAGTTGCTTGTTGAATTTCTTCCCGAACCGACAAATAAGCACTTTCCGGCAAAATTTTTTCTAACGCTTGGCAAGTAGTTTCGGCAATGTTTACTAAATCTTTCTCCACGGAACTATTAGTCCCAGTTAGCTCTTTTTCTAGCTTTTTAGCAGTTTGTCGTGCCTCATTTAATTCAGTTTCTAAACTTTCTATCGTGTTTTCATCAGTAATTGCAATTGGTGGCTTGCTAATCAACTCCTGAATCCGCTTAATAACTTGCTTGAAATCAGGTTCTTTTAAGTTCAAGTTTAAACTTTCATTTAACTCTTGCACCATTTTCTTTTCTTGCTTTTCACTTTGCTGCTTTCAATCGTTTCTTTCCCCAATTGCTTTGTCTCTTTCATTTTTCACGAGCGTTATTTCCTGGATTAGTTTATCCTTATCAGCCTTCAAACTCTCATAATCTTTTGGATAACTCAAACAAACATGTTCTCGCAAATTATTCACCTCTTTCGCTATTTCTTTAATTTCTTGTTCTGAAACATTTTTGCCATTTCCAGCATAACCAACTAACCCACCAAGCAAACTATTCAATAATGCTTGTAAATAATTCTTGCTTTCCTTTTGGCTGGCAATTTCCTCATGGAGTTTCACTGCCTCTTGCTGTTTATTTTCTAATTGAGTGGTTAAATCAGTAATAGTAGTTTGATTAGTGCTTTTATTTGCCTTTAATTCCTCTATTTGTTTTTGGAGTTTGGATTCAGTTTGTGCTAATTTCCTTTCTTTCCTTTGGCTACGCACTAATTCCTGCTGAACTTCATTTAATTGCTGATTAAAATCTTCTAATCCCGCTTGGGCTTTGTCTCTTTCTTTTTGCGTTCCCGTTAAAGTTTTCTGAACTTCCTGGGCATTTTTACCCTTAAAAGCTTGCTGTCAAGCGTTTAATTCAGTCTGGGTTTGATTTTGCCGATTAACCAACTTTTGATAATCAGGCAAAGTAATCTCCGGACGGCTATCTCTTTCCGCTTTAACTCGTTCATACTCGGTTTTTTTAGTTAATCCTGCTTGCTCTATTTCACTTTGGTTGTGCGGATTAATTAAATCTTTATTTTTTCATTCTTGTTCTTTTTTCGCCACCGCTTCTTTGATATCTTGCTCGCTAAATTTATACTTTCCTTGGTAATTATGGTGAGTGGTGTTTAAAGAATTATAATTGTTTTGTAAATCTTGGTAGTCTTTTAAGACCGGTCTTAATTTTAAGTCATTAATTTGCTCTTGTTGTTCTCGGTTTTCTTCTTCTAATTGCCCTATTTTAGTTAATTCTGACTTTCAATTGGCTGGTAAATCAGCGGGTTTTTGGTTATTTTTTAGTTGGTTGTAAGCTTCTCAGGTTGGTCTTTGCTGTAATTTGCTCGTTTCGGCTCCCAGGTCTTTTTTTAGTTGGCTTATCGTTTCGCCAAAGCTTGCTATTTCAGCGGTAAGATTAGCAACTTTTTCGTGAGCAGTAGCCAAATCTCCTTTAATTTTTTGGTTCTCCTTTTGGCAATTGTCCCGTTCAGTAGCAATTTTTGCTCATTCTTCCTTAATTTGTTGGGCTGAATGATTAGGAAAATTAGTCTTTCAAGCCGCTGATTCGCGGTTTAATCGGCTTTTTTTCGTGCGGAATTTTTGCTCTTTTTGGTGAAAATTTTTGTTTAAATCGTTCAATTTGCTTTCTCAGAATAAATTATTCGCTTCTGGGCTACAACTAGGTAGAGCCACGGAGGAATCTGAATCAAAGTTAGAACGAGAAAAATTGCCCGAATTCAAATAATTCCCCGCTATCCCTCCGGTAATTAATAATCCCGTTAAAGCTGCTCCTTGGTAAGCCCGCCGATTTTGCTGATAATGATTAATGCCACGGTTGGCTCATTCTTTCCCTTGTTGATAAAAGTTGCTCGTTTTTTCGCCCAAATAATTACCTCAACTTTGCGGTTCAGTAGAAATTTGCTCGGCAGATTGCCCTTTCCTTAAATTTTGCAATTTGTTTCGTAAGGCTTGAATTTTCTTATTTTCTTTCGCTAATTGGTCGTTTAATTCGTTGATTTTTTGCTCTTTTTTGCCAATGGTTTCGGTTTTTTCTGCTCTTTCGCGGTTAAGTTCGTCTCTGGCTTGTCCTAATTCAAGTAAGTTGGCGTAATGTGTTTCCAGTAATCTGTTGTAGACTTCTTCCAGTTCTGCTCTCTCTCTATCGTCGCCATTCATTAAAGAAAAAAGTTGATTCAGATTAAAATTTCGCCCTAAACGTTGATTTAGTTGGTGAATAAATTCTTGGTTTTGTTGTAATTCTTCTGCTGGTCTGGTGGCTTGTAGTAAATTGATTACTTCTTGAATAATTAATTCATTTTCGGCTTCTCAGCCTTTAATTTTTTCCTCGTAGCCAGCAATTAAGTTAGCAGTCACTTCTGGTCCGTATAGTCTTTGATTTGCCACTAATCTTTGTTTATTTTCCCGGCTTTGACTGATTAAATTATAGTTTTGGTTATATTTTTCTATTTTTTGATTTATATTTGGCATATTTTTATATTAAGAATTTTACGCCTGGTTATCCAATTAGCATGATTTTTGCGGCTTTAGTTTTATTACCTCTATATTTCTAAAAAAGCCTTAAAAATGTAATTGTATGAATAAAAAAAAAAAAATCCCACCTACCATAACCACAAATATTATACAATGACAAAAAGAGAAACCAAAACTTCTCTCTCATTTTCTGAATATTATGAACATTTAATCAGCAAAAATGCCGAAAAACTTTCCCAGGTTAACCAGATTAAAAGAAGTTCAGCCAATGAAGAAAGAAGCCAAAACAATTATGAAAAAATATTAGTTTTATCGCAGGCTATTGTCGACCAAAACAGCAATTTAAGTCAAATTCGCGAAGTTATTTGCCTATGAGATAAATACCTTTTAGCAAACCCTAATGACATTGCTTTTACTTTTTTAACGACTTCGTTATCCGCCGAATTAGCGAGAATTGAAGAAATGCTTCTAGTTAAAACTACTGCTCGTTTCTCAGAAAAAAACAAAATTGAATTTTGACAGGAGGCGGAAAACAGTTGGAAAGATTTTTGTTTTCTGGTCGAAAAAGGAGGAGGTTCGCTCAGAACAAAATCTAAGAGACGAATAAAAGAAATTGATAGGAATTGAGTAATTTGCCGTTTAAACCTCAAACGAGCCAAGAAGAAAAATTTTCATAAGCTTTGAGAAAAAGTAGAATGCCTGATAGAAAAAATTCAAATTGATAGTGAAGACGAAAGTTTAGAAAGTTTAGAAAGTTTAGAAAGTTTAGAAAGTTTAGAAAGTTTAGAAAGTTTAGAAAGTTTAGAAAATAAATTCAACCAAGAAATTTTGACTTGGGGAGAAAACATTCTCCACCGCCGAATGAGAAAGCATTCGCGAAAAACTGAACCGGTAGCCAAAATCAAAAGAACCATTAAAATAATTAGACACATTGATTTTCTTGCTACTGCCCAAAAACTCGACCCGCGTTTAAAATTTAAAACTGATTTTGACCGAAAGAGAAAAGAGTTTCACCAAGAAATAGAAAATATTTTAGACCTTTATAAGAAAAATAAAGAAAATTTCCCCGAAAAAGAAAAGGTATTGAAAGAAGAAAAAATTAAGCAAAAACCGTTAAAATTTCGGGCAGTAAAGATGGAGCGACAAAATTCGTTGGAGAGGTGTTTGTTGACCTTTTTGACTAATTCGGTCTTGACCAAAGTGAAAAATATTGATTTGGTTGACCAAGAAAATTACCAAAAAAGTCAAGACTTAAAAAAGCATTTATGATTTTACCAAACGGAAACAAAAAGCGGGGGAATCTTAGAGAATATTGATGAGAAAACCAAGCAAAATATTGAAAAAGAATGTCAAAGACTAGGTCAACTAATTGACAAATTTTCTAAAAATAAAATTAAGAAGGTAAAAAATATGAAAAATGAAATGAACGAAGAAATTCAAAAACTAAATGAAATAATTGCCGAGCTAAATAAAAGGTTAGGGGAAGTGGAAGACGAATTAGCAGAAGCAAGAAGAAATTTAAATTTAGCACAGAATTCTTCAATTAGAAAAGGAAAAGATAAAGAAGAACTAGAAAATCACTACCAAAAATCAACTGAAATCTGAAACGAAGAAGAAAAAAAATTAAAAGATGAGATAAAAAAATCGGAAGAGAAAATTAGTCATTTACAATTAGGTTCAGAAGAGATATTCAAAATCAACCAAATTTTGGGAGACGAAAGAGACAAATTAAAAGAGGAAATAGTTAAAGCCGAAGAAAAAATCAAAGAATTAAAGGAAAAATATGAACATGAGAAAAAGCTAAAAGAAAAATATGAAGAAACTATTGAAGAACATGCAGAGACTATTGAAAAAAACGAAGAAATGGTCGCCAAGTTAAACAAAACTATTGAACGAGGAAATAAAATAGTCGCCGAACAAGAAAAAACTATTAGTGACGGTCTTAAATTGCTCGAAGAAAAAGAGCGTTTGGTTGAGAAATTATCTAATGTAAATGCAGAATATGTAGCACGAACGGACATGTTCACCCTGGAAAGAAAGCGACATAGAGACTTCCTTGGTGGTATCCGAAGGCAAATGAAGAAATTCTTTGAGGACAATAAAGGAAAAGGAAAAAAAATTAAAAGTCTTCAAGAAGAATTAGGTTCATTTTTAGATATTCACCGAATGAATTCCCCTATACTTGAATATGATGATAGTCAACCCAATTCTCCTCGTTGAAGTTTAGCAAGTTCCAGTAAAGGTAGTCCACGTTATTGGTCAGAAAGTCCGCGAGCCGAAAGCCCAAATAAAAAGACTTATTTTGATTTAGAAATGACAAGAACGTCTTCTGCAGAAGAAAATCAAGCTGAATCTTCTTACAAAGCACCCACGGAGAGGAAAGCAAAAAGACTTTCTCAATCAAAACAAAAAAGCAGAACAAATAGTGACGCTAGTGTGCTAAGTTTGGATAGAAGAAGCTCGACCCTTTCTTTTGATGACAAAAGTGCTTCAATGGAAGAATTTGAAAATTCTGTTGTTGACTTAATAACCGAATTAATCGAACAAAAAGATTATTCTCTGGATATCGATTCTCGTGATGACACAATAAGAAGGCTAAGAAGTGAGTTGGAGGAAAAAAAAAAAGAATATGACAAATTAAAGGAAGATTATGAGACAGTTGACCAAGAATTACATTTGTATCAAACCGCTGAACATAATTTATTATGAGAAGAAGGAGAAGAAGGAGAAGAAGGAGAAGAAGGAGAAGAAGGAGAAGCGAAATCAAGGTCATCGAGCATCTCAAACACCGAAAGCTTAGTTTCAGTATCAAAATATAAAAAATTTTTAGGTAAAATTTTTGGAGGTTCTCAAAATAAATTTGATGAAATCAATGCAGCTATTGATGAAGTTATAGAAGATGAAAAAAAAAATCAAAGCGAAACAAAAAAAGAATGTCAAAGATGGTGCTGCCAAAATGGTGAAGCGGAAAAGATTTTGCAACGAGCAAATGGTTTAGAAGGAGATATTTTTGTGTTAAAAAAACTTTACGAGGAAATTCAAGAGGAATTAAAGAAAACTCTTGAAGAGAGAAACAAAGAAAGGGATGAGAGCCTAATTACCGAGAAATATTTAGATGAACTAAGCAAAGAAAATAATAAATTAGAGGAAAAATTAAAAAAAAGTTGGGCATACTTTGACGCAAAATTAACTAGGGGCAAAGAGTTCATTGACCAACTTAAAAATGATTTAAGGATACACGAAGGATTAAACAAAGAATTAAAGGAAGAAAAAAACAGTTTGAGGAAAGATTTAGAAACTGTTTGCTTAAACAACGTTCTCGGTCGGCAACACATAGTTGAGGTTTATGAAGCAAAATTAAGTCAATTACAACAAGAAAAAGAAGAACTGAACCAGAATCATATTCGAACGGAACAAGAATTAGCCGAGGAAAAGGGGAAAATCCTCGACCTTAACCAGGAAATTCATAAGCGAAAAAAAATCACTAGTCAGAATCAATTATTAGAAGAATTCTATAAGAAAAAAAATGAAGAAGAACAAAAGATATTTGATGATAGTCAGGAGAAATACTTTGAAGAGTCCAACAAAAATGGTCAAAGCGAAAATAACCAAACCAGTTGGAGTGATTATTGAAAAGGACTAGGAGAACAAACGAATACTTTATTAGGACAAGGCAAGGAATTGGCTAGTCGGTTCAAAAGTTCGTTGCCGAATATTAATTATAAAAAGTCATTTATAGCCACTGGCTTAGCTGCTACGCATGTTGTTGCTTATCAATACGGACAAATTGGACAAAGTGCGGTAGATATTAGCCTTAATCACAAATTAATTACCCAAACTACCGCCAATTGAGAGAAAGATACTTGTCCGGTTAATTTACCTTTATTTTGCGACCAATTAATTAAAAACCCTCCACCTAATTATAACCGAGTAGAGAATATGGAAAATTCTCAAAGTGCTATTTTAGTAAATTTAGTTAACCAACTTGAACAGCAACTCAAAGCTAGCCAAAGCCAACTGAACCGCACCCAACAAGATTTAGAGCAGGAAGGCGAAGAGCATTACCACACGATTAATAATTTAAAACGGGAAGGCGAAGACCACCACCAAACCTTACTCAACTTGGAAGCCGAAAGAGAATACCACGAGGAAACTTGACAAGATTTGATCGAAGAAGAGCAAGATCACCACACTAGCCGCATTAACTTACAGCGCACCCAAAGCGAATTAGAAGCTAGCCAAAGCCAACTGAACCGCACCCAACAAGATTTAGAGCAGGAAGGCGAAGAGCATTACCACACGATTAAT